AAAGCGTCCCTTACAGCCGTCATCGTTAACAACGATTGGTCTAATAAACTTCCCCTAGTAATGTTAGCTCTAAGAGCAACAATTAAACAAGACATGGGATGTTGTCTGGCCGAGTTAGTTTATGGAACTACTCTACGATTACCCGGAGAATTTTTCACTTCAAGTAAAAATGTCCCGACTGATGTAACCGGCTATGTGCAACGCCTGAGAAAGCACATGAGCGATTTAAAAATAACACCTCCCAGACCACAACAACGACGAGTATTCATACCACAGGAACTACATAACAGCTCTCACGTATTCATTCAAAGAGATAAAGTATAACCACCTCTTCAACCGAGTTACGACGGACCATTTAGAGTGATAGGGAGGACAAATAAAACGGTTGCCATAGAGAAAACTGGGAAGACAGATGTAATTAGCATCGATCGAGTAAAGCCAGCTTTTATCGATAGCGATATTAAATCAACAAGTACAGACTCCTCTAAGATGGTCATACCAGCGAAACACGAGTACCAAAAATCAACAACGTTAACGCAACAAAAAGACAAGACTCCGATAACAACAAGATCCGGCCGTAGAGTAAGATGGCCCCAACATTATGTAGCTACAATTTTCTATTAATAATAATCTACTATTTGGAATATTGATTATAACTTCTACCTCATTGTATACACATGCATTATTAAGCTCATGTTATACGCTATAAAACTCAACGTATCTTATGTACCCTTACACTTATGCGTATAATTTTTGTTTAAAATGTAAAGACAATACCACATTCCTTCTATTTCTTGCTATTATTTTATGTAACCTCACGGACGGGCACAAACCAAATGTACAGCACACACTAACTTCATCTTAATTTTGTATAAGCCATTTTTCTACCCTATTCAGTCTACTATTTTTTTTATGCAAACACAGACATTTTCCATATATCTTTGTTTGCAGGGGGGAGCTATTATAGCGACTCTTGTGCAAATGGGTTTATTTTCATTTAACCCAGTTAAGCCCTTTTTGTTAACTTATTTAGCGGACAAAGCCATCCGCGCTATAACAATTTATTGTATCCTTATTATTATTTTGCGCTTGTATGAAATACGTATGCTTGAATATTGATTACTGCCTACGCATTTATTCACTCTGCTAGTCTTACCACTAACCGCTTATTCGATTCGATTACTCATTCATTTCACATGGTATATATATGTCCATGTTATTCATTTTGAACGCTCAATCATTCACTCGCTCACACGGTCTCGTCACGCTCTTGCTCTGGCTCTCGCTCGCTTGCTTGCCTTTCGGCACAACTCTTCTATGCTTGTTTAACACATCTGTACATTTGGATATATGTGTGTGGTCTCGCAATAAACGTAATCAACACTTCGTATTTGCCTTCTGATTAATATACCGTTGGTACGTTATATAGAACGGTTATCACGACGAACTGTATACGAAGTTTAAGGATTATATCGAATACCGACCACCACAAGGTCCGTCTGATAGGAATATCTGAAACCTGGATATCTTCTCAGTTCTCGGACCAAGAGTTAGTATTATCTGGGATGTTTTTGTTCCTCAACGACAGAAAATCAGGAATTGGGGACGGAGTAGCCGTATACATACGTTCTTGCTTGGAGATGCACCAAGTTCATAACCTTGAGTTTAACAATCTTAAGGAATCCATATAGTGCTCTGTAAGATTGTCTGGTACTTCGAGGTGTCTAGTCGGAGTCATTTACAGGAAGCCAACTGCCGACATCGAGTACGATAGTCGTATGTTGGAAGGGATACCCCGCTCTACTCGTCTCGGTTTCACACACATCCTGATTCTAGGGGACTTTAATCTCTCTAGAGTCAACTCCGCGGAACACACGTACACTGGAGGCGACAACTCAACTGAAGCTCGGTTCTTCAACCTCATTGATGACTTGGGATTATACGAAAATGTGAGGTCGGCAACTCGTTGGAGAAACAGTCAGACACCATCGCGCTTAGACTGTGTATTCACAAATGAAGAATTCCTATTTGACAACCTCTCAATCCTAGCTCCCCTGGGAAAAAGCGATCATGCCGTCATAGCCTTCAGTTTTGTCAGCAAAAATAAGCTAAGATATCCCACCAATAACTTTTGTTGGAATTTTAAACGGCTGAATGTGCCAGCTTCACACTACTATCTACAACAGGTGGTTTGGGATGTTCACCCCCAACTCGATGTGGACGGTCATTGAGACTTCTTACTGCACACGCTCTTACGTGCTACAAACCACTCAGTTCCTCAAACGGTCCCCCATAGCTGTCAGCAACTTACAATCATCAGGAACCGCACTCTTCGCCTGCAGGGCCGCAAAAGGCACTTTTGGGCGGAATACAAACGAACTGACAACGACGGAGCGTACAGGCAATATAAACATATAAGGAACATATGCACGAAGGCTATTAGAGGAGATAGGCTTCAGTACCAGACAAAGCTTATGGACAAATTTGCCTCTAATCCTAAAAGCTTATTCCGTTATGCAGCCTCTTTTCGTCAAGCCAAAACTGGAGTTTCTCAACTGCTAGGTCTTAACGGCCCGACCAACAACGATGGCGACGCCGCTAACCCTCTGGCGGCACATTACTCTCAGACATTTCAACCGACCGACATTAACTTTAATGATGACAATTTCGTTTGCAATTCCACAGAACTTTCCGAAGTGAACCTAAGCGCCGACTTGGTGTTCCGGAAACTGCAGCACTTAAGAATAGACACTTCTCCGGGTCCGGACATGGTCCATTCTACCATACTGAGGGAAGCAGCCTCAATCTTGGCAACACCGCCTAGCGTAATGTTCTCACACTCGCTAAGCCGAGGAAAACTACCGGAAAATTGGAAGCCGGCTCACATCACACCAGTTTTCAAAGGAGGTCGACACAGCGAACCTTCACGTTACCGACCAGTGGCTCTTCTCTCAATACCTTCAAAAATCATGGAGTCCCTGATATGCTATGGCATAAATGACTATTTACTGTCCTTAAATTTCTCCTCTCCCCAACAGCATGGTTTCAGGAAGGGCTACTCTTGTATAACCAACCTGCTGACTGGGGTGGACATATGGACAAGCATCCTCGATTGCAAAGTGGAGGTTGACATCATCTACCTAGATTTCTCAAAAGTTTTTGATAAGGTTAACCATACATATCTTATCAATAAGCTCAGACGATTGGGTATCAGACCACCTCTAACCGATTGGCTCACTTCATACTTGAAAAATCGACATTTTAAGGTCAGGGTTAATTTCACTTTATCTCAGGTTATGGAATGTCCTAGTGCGGTCCCCTAGGGCTCAGTACTAGGACCTCGTCTCTTCTTGATCTACATAAATGGTCTTCCTCAGCAGGTAATGTCAGACTTTTTAATTTTTGCCGACGACGTGAAACTTTGGAGAGAGATACACAACCAAGACGATATACAGGTACTTCAGGAGGATCTGACTCGACTTCAAAGTTGGGCAGACGATAACGGACTTACCTTTAACACTTCAAAGTGTAAAGTAGTCCATCTGCGACATGTTGCAGACTACAAATATAACTTAGGAAACTCCTCTCTAGTAGTATCCCAAGTCGAAAAAGATTCAGGAGTCCTGGTGCCCTACGATTTAAAGTCTTATGCTAACTGTGACAAAAATGCCTTCCGAGCAGACCTTGCACTAGTAACGTTGAAGCGCATTTTTGGACAGTTTGACGGACGAACTTTCTATATAATCTTCAATAGTTTTATCCGAAAGGATAAGGACACTCTGGAACGTATCCAACGGCGAGCCACGAAATCAGTTAGAGGACTCAAATCTAAACCTTACGAAGAGCACCTCCATTCACTTAACCTTTACTCATTAGAGTATAGACGTCTTAGGGGTGACCTTCTGCTGGCTTACAGTATCCTTAACACTTCTGGACATCCTCTCAAACACCTACTTAAACATAGTTCCAACACTAACCTAGGAGGTAACACCCAGAAACTGGAGACACAACATAGCAGAACGGACTGTAGACACAACTTCTACTCCTTAAGAGTTGTCAAATGCTGGAATTCGCTGCCGGCCGAGCTAGTCCAAGCGACTTCCCAGGATTCCTTTAAGAGGCAACTTGATCTATTCTTAAGGACTAAGGATAGTATCACACTATGATTTACTAATTTCCTTTCCTCTTTTATTGTTAACATACCTAGGTTCCTGCCTGGAGGATTTGGTGATCCCCTGCTACTAGACACGGAAGCCTGTTAAGCGAAAGCTTCTTCTATTCAGTCCACAACCATTTGAAACATTTGACTTGGTAGTTGCTTCCTGCAGGGTCATGTTAGGGCAGTGTTTTTCCCATCGCCACTGATAAGTCTTGTTGATTGAACGCTATATTCGTTTCCTAAGCTATTCTGGTAACCCGCAAGCTAGAACTACACAGCGACCCGAACACCAGAGAGAAGACACAAAGTATGAGAGAAATGCTTTACTCCAAGGTTCACTTTTGTACAGAAAAACACGGGTATTTATAGATATTAACATTTGTTAAATCAACACCATATTTCGGCCAATCCGTTAACGACATATTATGCTACTGACCAATATTAGCAAGTGTCACCAAGACTGAAGTAACTAAACGTGAATCAAATATATTCGATTCAATTACAACTGACTGATAATGGATTTAGAAGGCCATAATGCAATACAAATTAAGTACATTCCATCTCAATCTCCCTATTTCGGGGTTTTTGTGCCATTTTCCCAAAAGTTTCTGTAGCGGCTTCTCCATAATAGGGAGATTGGGATAGTTCTATCACATTAGTCGCCTTTTTTACTTTATACATGTTTCAGTCCCAAAATCTTATAAGAGCAGTAAGAACACTATTATCGAATTAAATAAATGTCATCCCCCAATAAATGAATGCCAGTTTGGATAATTACACAACACCGATTTTTTTTATGATCAACACTTAAAAGTAACTTTTTTATATCTGTACATATTAGATTCATTCACATCCTGGTTACGCGATCATATGCTCACTTACGAGCTGTATTCAATGAATATACATCACTTGGCAAGCGTAATATGGAAGATGCTTTAAAATCAGAAATGCATGGGCACACACTCAGTGCCTTACTGTCTATTGGTAAGTAATGCTAACCACCATTTTTTTCTAACATAAATTATGAGCTGACAGATAATGATGACCAAATAATTTAAAATTATTTGATGAAATCTTTAATCACTAGAGTATTGAATGATAGTTGTATTTAAGTAAAACTATTGTTAGCAGTGGATAGATATAATCTTTGAATTGAATAATCACTATATGTTGTTCATTATTTAAATTTCATTTCAGTTCGTTGTATACAAAATAAGCCACGATATTTTGCAGCGAAATTATTAAAAGCTATGAAAGGTGCTGGAACAGATGACAGGACCCTTATTCGTATTATTGTATCTCGTTGTGAAGTTGATATGGGACAAATTAAAAAAGAGTTTCATGGTTTAAAAGGGAAAACATTAGAGGCATGCATACACGTAAGTGCGAACGACATTTGTTGAGTGAATATATATATAATCTACAGACCATTTTGCCGACTTTTTAGGAGGGTTACGTATAGATTGTGCAATCCCTTATGTAGCTACAGATTAAGTGTAAAAGCAAACTGATCTGCATCCAGAACGATTCCTGACTTAATCAGTGCTTGTATTGGAAAACAAGTGATATGCAGACTTCGAGGTAACCGTTCGTGCTGCACAAGTTTGGACGTCCCTAATTTCGCTCTCATTCTCCGCTTATTCAACTCCACTTTGTCTGATAACTTATACTACTTATTAATATTCAGTAACCAGTTCCATGTTCAATAGCCTATGAACATATGATGTAACTTATGTTTGTTGTGCAATATTCCTAAGTACTTATATAAATTAATATTTACCTTACTCATTATCGTAATTACATCTTCATAACACTTGCAACAGTTAAACTTAGTTTCCCTGAATTCGTTGGATATCTTTTTAAACTCAACACCTTCCATAATTTTGTGTTCGTAGTCTCCGTTTGATTGTTGATAGCCATTATTAACTTTAGACACAGTTACCGGCTGCAATTTACACTATCATATGTTGTCATACATCTTTATGAAATGACAGTGTTATGACTGTGTTCAGCAGATTAGAGGGCAGCTTACTATCGATCGGACCAAAGACGCGTAAACACGTAAGAACGGCCTAGAGTTCTGATTGGTCCCGCTTCCCTGTTTAGCCCAGCCAGTTGAGTCCAGAACGCAAGTCTCCGCCTCTGAGATATGAATCATTATATTTCAAGCATACTGAGTTAATATACCAATCAAACCGACCACAACGTACCAATAAAATATGAAACAACATTTGTACAGGAATTAGCCCGATGTGGCTGTGAATGAGGGAGGTAGCGACTAACAGACAGGGAATAGTTCATCAATGGTAAATCGTTTAATAATAGTTCATAGGTCAAAATAAAGCTCATAATAAGAGGGGCATGAATATGAACAGTTTAGTTACGAAACAATTATACGATAAAAACATACCCAGAATATTGGTCCATAAATGGATCCCAAAAACTACCACTCATTATTTTTATCGGGATACAACAGATAGCAGGAAGCGGTATCTCTCGAATAGATATAGACACATTAACCCCCACAGATGCTTCATCAGTCGGGGTTTGTAACTAATTCACATATATTTTATATCAATAGGACTGTTCTTTAGGTAAATCCTCGTTTTCAACTTGGATTCCACGAGTACTTCAGTTGGGTTGTTCGACAAAATTGACCGTGTTAGTATAGTGCTACTATAACAATCATCATGCCCTGATCACTGATATGTACCTATTTATTCGTAAAAATAATTCAATAACTCTTGAATCTCACTCTGTTTAGTCACACAACTGTCACATTGTAAAGCTGCACTACAGATGCATAACCGTAACAGGGGAATTTAGAGACAATGTCAAATCTACTGAACCACCACCAAGTTTTCTCATAACAATAATACTGAACATAATTCAAAGTTGAACAATGAACGTATGAGTTCAGTCCACTTAGCTGATTGACTGGAAATAATCAACTAAGACAAAATACATACGTGACCGAATTACAGAAAGTAAGCAGCTCACCTTCAAAATAAGTTTATCACTAACTATAAATAAAGAATCAAACGTTCTTGTCGTATTTGGAAGTTGATAATATAAGAAGGCTGCACTATTTACCAAATGAGTATAGATGTGCGTCTTTGTCTTACTATCAGGTAACTTGAATTTATGTTGGAAGAAAAATCAGACACTTGGGCCAGTAGTTGAAGAAAACCCATAAACTACTATCATTTCGACTATGTTACCTTTCACCTTTTTATATCACTCTGCTGATATGAAGAGCGGAAAACTAGACCGATATTATACCTGACCCAAACATATAAAAACAATCCCTACTGTATTACTTGTGTAGTAAAATTTATCATCAAATTAAATGTGGGACTAACATTTTAAATTTATATTTTTATAAATTTTTAACCGGTTCAATTGTAGACAATTGATGGTAACTCATTAGAATTAAACGGTATAAATTTGTTTATTCCTCACTCTCTGTAGGATGAAACGTCAAGAGATTATCGTCGTCTATTACTGGCGCTTATAGGAGCATGATCTCGAATACGATTTTATTTACATTGAATAAAGCTGTCAATAACGAATCAGTTCATAAAAACATGTTAATGAGTATTTCTAAAGATATATTTCATAGCTACAGCTCTTTACTTTAATTAACACAAGTATTCCGCTATTCCAACAAAAACTGCGCTATGATAGAATATTTTAAAGTTATTTAATCGTTTTATCTACTATCCCACTTTTTTACGTTCACAAAATGCCATAATCAGATATTTTTATTTTATTGCTAATTTTTATACAAACAAAGTGGTTTGCTTTGAGATGGATGAATTTTTTCAACGTCTTAGTTAAAGGGTGAATGAATTAAAGGGTTTTGATAAAATATTACAGATAGTAACTAATGCGATTGCATGAATATAATGACCTGAGGTTGGTTAGTTAGACTGTCGCTCAGAAATGATCACTGAAAAACTTTCGTTTGTGTTTTCCTATTCACTTTTTGAGTTAAATTTGTTCATTGATGAGAAAAGACAAACAACAGTCCAACCTGTACTGATTATACGGTGGATACCAGCTTGGGATGAATAGTACTCATGAACTACTTGGACTTGTTAAACACGAAATACGCGCTGCATAATCATTATCGTAAATCTCCCCGTCTCATTACAATATCAAAACATACAGTCAGAGGTCAGCCGAAGAAAACGGGTATACAATGCCATGTTAAAATAATACGACCTACGAAGGTAACCTTGTTAAAAAAGCGCTGACCATAAAAAAACCCACTCCAGATACCCTTAGGGAGTTGAAGAATCTTCATTTAAAAGTTATGACGCCCCAACGTGGAAGCCGAGAATCATTACTGAACAAACAATCGAATGGAACTCATGACTATACATCCAATTCCTTGACTATGAAGAAGCGTTTTACAGCGTGGATAGGACCTTATGGAACCATCTTCGGCACTATGGTGTACTTGAGAAAATCGTCAATATCATACGAATCCATACAACAGACCACACTGCAAAGTCATGCATGAAGGACAGCCGACAGATATATTCCATGTGAGGATCAGAGTCAGACAAGACTACTTAATCTCTCCTTTTCTCTTTCTTCTGGTAGTTGATTTGATTATGAAGAACTCGACATCTGAGGGAAGCACTAAATACAGTAGACAGCTTGTATGCAACTATACGATTTAGAATTTGCAGATCACCTAGCCCTTCTATCCCATACACACCGACAAATGCAGACGGGGACAACTAGTATAGCAGCAGCCTCTTCAAAAGTAGGCTTCAACATGCACAAAGGAAAAAGTTCCTAAAATACAACACAGTGAGCGCCAACCAAATCACACTTGATGGAGAAGATCTGGAATTAGAAACTTCAACACACCTGGGCAGCAACACTGACAAACAAGGGGAATTCGATGCAGATATGAAAGCACGGACCGACAAGGGCAGCATTTCTATAAGTGACGAACATCAGGAACTCCAAACACTTCCCAGCCAACGCCAAAATCAGAATATTCAAGACAAATCTATTGTACGGAGCTGAGATGTGGAGAGCAACCACAGCTACCATCAGGGAAGTACATATATTTGTAAACAGTCGTCTACCCAAGATAGTCCAGACCCACTGGCCAGACACCATCAACAACAAACAAGATCCCAGCTGAAGAAATTAGGAAAAAACGCGAGGGGGATAGGGCACGTAGCAGAAACCACCAAACTGAATCACGAGGTAAGTCCCAACGTGGAATCCTGAAGGCGAAAGGAAAAGCTGACCAAAGAACACGTCCCGCCGCGAATCGTAGGCAGACATCAAAAGAATATCACTTGTGAACAACCGGGAAAAAGACCCTAGGACAGAGATGGTTGGAGAACCTTGGTCGGCGGTTCACGAGGGGTGACAGACGTGAGTGAAGACGACGTATCAGGAACATGGTCATCGGAACAGATTGGCCTAGTGTTTGTACAATAATTTTTTTGAAACCAACTACATAAAGTAATCGCTGTTTTCCAGAATGGCAAAGAAAACTTTATATTTAAACTATCTAGCTCAAAGGACATACTACCATCTGAGTCATAAATCTTCTACACTATTTCATACGTAGCATATCTTGGAAAGCACTGTCTGGTCTAACCCATACATACACCAACAAAAATTGGAGTTGAGATGTTTATGTGAACCGACTAGCCTCACATCAAATCGGGAAAGTTTTCAAAATTCCATGTAAGACAAATGTCACCCTATTTCGTTTCCAGTACATAATAAAACTACCCTATTTACGCCCATTTTGTTGACGATTCTTATTACTGATGTGAGGTGTGACTATTTGGAATATTAATATTCGCACTAAATCCTCCAACCTTTCAGTATACATTTAGGTAAGCTCGATTATTTTCTTATTAGGAATTATATGTGCTTAGAGCCCCGTCATGTAACCATCATATACAATGGCTTCAGGCATATTAAGATGACTATTTGGCTTGTGAATTTCTGTTAGTTCCTCGAGAGAGCGTAACAAGGGACAGGACCGACCAACCCAATGTAATGGACTTCTGAGAACCAGGTAGGCATTAAGCGAAAAGTTGAAGTACAAATTTTAGGATCGCGTAAATATTTTTATTGCTCAATAAACCTCCTTTACTTTTCCCTACGAATCTCAGGGTCAATTCGAGGTACTGTTTTTCAATCAAGAGACGTAGTACGTAACTACCTGCTTCATATGGGTTTCTAGGATGCTCAAGTGTCCTGTACAAAAGCACATTGATTTCACGGCGCCATTGTTATCAAATGTTTTATACAGGCATAATTCTCCCTTTGTATTGCTTTGGTGTTAGTACTCTAATCACTAGCGTTTTAAGACTTCTGACGATGAGGTAAGCTAAGAAACAACTAAAATGGAGGATGGTGAGTCTAACTTACATGCCAACACAGATCCCGATTTCCAGATGACCCTCCACACCCAGCTCCAAAGTCCGATACGAAAACCGGACGACCACGTTGAGAAACTAAAATGTTACACAAATGCAGTTTGTGCCAGTCCACTTTACTGTATCACATGTTGGAACGCTACCAGATCTCTAGTAAAATGTAAAGCGACCAAACATACATCCTTTCCACGTGTAACTATAACATGCCCGGAACCACGAGCTCTGGCCTAAATACTTGAAAATAAGTAAATATGTAGCCGTTTGGTACACCCTTGTTTAACCATGCTAGGAGCAGATGTTGTCTAGTAGGAAAGAACGAGTTATGGGGAAATTTGACTCGACTTTTCGAACAAGTTTCCTATAAGACCAGTCTATTGAGAAAGGGGATATTACACCCAGTAGTTTGGTAATAAAGCCTTGGAAAGGATGACATATATTCTTTTTAAAGTCTAAAGCACTTACTCATATGAGAACTACCTACCTCAATCTCGCAGTCATCGATGTGTTAGGTTAGTGGTATCAAAACTCAAGAAACAAGAATAGGTTCTAAAACTCCGCCATGAGTTGCTTTTGCAATCAACTGAACTGTCAGGTCCTAAAAGAATTAATTCCGAATATATAAACCACATGACCACAAACTTCAATAAACCGACGTGGATTATAATGAGACTCTACCTATTGAATACTGACTTTAACAAGTCACCATGCATCATTCCAATGCCATACTAAACCCGAAAAGTGTGATAACGCATACTTTACGCTTCCACATGGTGATTATTAGTTGTAACATAACCCAGTATTCAGGCACGGGCTACCTAATTATTTGTTGAAATAAAAAGATACCACCCAAATACGATAGAGCCTGGAACTCACATTAGAAGCGCGTAATAAAATATCTTCAAGAATTATAATATTGAAGAAAATGCGTAGCAGAAATTTTGACAAGTCATCATCTATGAATGTCACTTAGACAACAGGGAAATGTATACATAGTTATGGGAGGGTAATCTTTAGTTACAATCCACCAGTTTGTGCCTGGAAAACTTCAACGGTATCATTTTCTTCCATTTCCAACTAAAAATTTTAATGTGAACCATAAGGTTGACTTACCGAGCCAGGAGTATCAGTTTCATGAACGCTATTTCCATCGAAAAAAAAACGCACAGCAGACTGATTAACGCCCTAAAGGAGATTGAGTATATGCTGACCAAATGTTTACCAGTCGATCGCAATAAGCAGTAATTAATTTCTTGAAAGGTGTGCTTTTCCGTATCTTGAAGTGAATAATTGACCCTTCTTGTCCTTGCACTTTGATGTTAATATGCTCTGAAGGAGCTTCCTGAATTACATAAGAAGATCTTTGGTTACCATCATCAGGAAAATAGTATTTATATCGCAAAAATGCCTACCTTATTGGCACTATCAGTCATCCCGACAAACTTTCCTTAACAGTTTAAAAGAATCTGCTCAAACAAACGCTATCTCGCTCTGTTGTCCAATGCACAATAGGTTCAAAATATGTTGAATATTAATAATAGTGTTTTAAAGGCTAGTCATTTGTCCTGTATTTCAAAGTACCACCGATTATTGCAAATTATCTCAAAACTACTTCAAGTACTTAAGTTAATCTGTAACTAATCGAATTTTTATTCACTAAACTGAACAATGTTCCAGTTCTGTTCAAAATCACTTGAGTAGCATTTATCTAGGAAGACAAAGAGTTTGATTTCCGAAAGCGACATATGTCAGAGAAAATCTAACATAATGTCTCAATAATGGGCAAGTAAATGACTTAGGTATTCAACTGCTGTTGCCCCAGCCCTTTTGAAAGTTATCTAATGGTTCATACACTGCGAGTTTAGACGCACCTGCATATGCCATGACTATGCAGTTGTTGGGACTGGCTGATCACAAATCACTCAGTAGTCTGGTTGAGGGTGTCGTGAGGACTTGATGACTGGTGTAGAGTAGAAGTAATATGTGATAAAAATAAAATGGACAGATGAGTGGAATGATGGTAAGTAAAAATAGTTTAAACTAGGTAAAGATTAAAGCTATGTTATCAAGCCACTTGTGAAGAGAACAAAAAGTAGGAGTGTTCATAATTCTAATTGGAAGGTATATTTAATTTTCCAGAACTCTCTTGCATCGGTTTGGTGAAACTGCTGTGATCTCGTCGACTGAGACGGCATTCCGGGCACCACACTGCTGTTGTCTAACTACGTGATTTCTTGCCTGAATGTTCTCTCTTCGATGAATGATTCGTGTATTTGAGAACACCTCTCCTCCTAACCATCGTCGCTTTCTCCCTCGTTTATCTTCAAGTCAACAAAATGGAAGATACTTGGACATCATTACTATCCGATTCGGTCATATTGATTGTATCCTCACACCACATCCTTTGAGAGGCTATTGTGACATGTATATTCACTGATTTTTGTAACGACAAAATAAAGACCTTATTTTTCTTTATTTTTCACACATAATATGTAATCACATTTATATCCATTATCTATTGTTTCTCTGTATCAATGGTAAGATGAAACGGATATAGTTGTTTGATTCTACTTACACACTACCGCGATTACTAAGAATATACCTGTAATCTGTTCTTCTGCTTTATTGGCCAAGGCCTGTGGTTGGAGATTATAGTAGTGTTATAGTATTCTTTAAGGTCAATCTATATTAAGTTAGAGTATTGGCCCTTATTATTATTCGAAATTTTCTGTCGGGCTTAATCATTCTCGCTATGGCGTTGGTGCCACCACGTTCAAAGAAACATTGGCTGGTCAAGTGAACTAACCTGTGATTATCTCAGAGAAGCAGCTTACAAGCAACATTCATTCCAAAACAATAGTTGTCATTTCTGTTATTTAATATACTATTTGTACCGTAAATGATGCTTGTGACTTTTCTGCTTTGCTCATAGGTACATAGGTTAGTAGTGTCAATTTTTCGGTATACTATTAGTAACTCTGAGTACTGTTATATCTTGAGTAGGCTCTTTTGCTGGGATCCATCACAAGGCCTAGTCTGTAATCTTCTTTGCATATGTGTGTGGGCGG